GCTGTTGAAATTCGTCACAAGCAGCATAATGCTTTGGACTAATTAGTCGGGAAATGATTCAACAAATTTTGAAATAGAGCACACAACAATAGCACCCAGTAGCACAAAGCAGATCAAGAAGATTCCATCTATTTTTCTCTATCGAACCAAGTTGAATATTCGCATATTTTTTTTCGATCTCCTGCTTACAGGTTCAACATGAATCAACCCAGTATTGTGATAAATCAATACAACAATTGCAATTAATTTCATACCGCGCCGGCAGTCGCCTGGACTACTCGGTACTGTTGCCCATTACTTCATGCTATTGCTCAGATACATCAGCCTTTGTCTAGCTGTATGTCTCCTATTCCTATCTCCGTCCGATTGCCCTTTCTTCTGCCCCGTAACACGTCATCAGAGACTTTGTTTGCCGTTCACATTATACCGTTTCATGTAGTTTACTATCGAGCAAACTGCAGATTCTGAAGCCGTCAACTTTCGAATATATGAGCCATCAAGGTGAAGACTCGCCTGTGTCATGTGCGAAATTGACATTTGTTGCGCATCGGATGATCAGATTCAGGATCCTGGTCATACAAGCCACTTGAATATACGGGTTAGTGCTTGACGTACTTCCTCCACACATCACGGAAATGTGTTGTTGAACCAAATAAGAGTTGAAGCTTCACTTGTTGGTTGGATCACAGTCAACAGTAGTCTATGCACGACGCGGTTCCAGTAATGTCTGGAAGGACTACAACTTCCAAAGATGTTTGAACATTATCTAAGTACATGCGCCGACCTACTATAATCTTGTTGTACAAAAGTACAATTTCTACGACAAAATCACTGAATTTGTTCGGTTAAACAGAAACTCAGATACAGTTGTATCGGTAGAGGATTTCAATGATTGCACTCGTATAATCATCAGAAAGCCGCATACGCAAACTGAAATCCAGTGAAACTTGGTCATCTTGCTGATTGGAAATTATTGCAAGGTGAAAGGTGGTGAAAGGATTACGGACATGGTTCATTCAATGAGTCCAAACTACTTGATTGGTTCTCTGAGTTCAACATGGCTTAGTCACGTTTAACAAGCGCTTCTAATTGTCTGATGTTTCTCCTCTATAGATATTAAACCTTAAACTTCCCACAGTTTCGTTTACAGACTATATTTGGGTTGTGATTTGATTTGAATAGGAACGGAACTATCCTATGGATAACTATCGTTGTGCTGGGCTTCAATTGTTTCACTGATATTCGAATGATTGAGATAGAATTGATTTATTTTTCCCATATAGATGAGTCTGCTACTAAAACATACATTTTTTGAAGAAAACCCGAACCCGCTCGTTTCCTTAGATCTGTTCGACCGTAGAGTGCACTCGTTTTGAGACCGCGAGTAGCACAAAGGACTAGCTCATGATCGCATGTTCCGGCTAGAGAACTAGAGCGCGAGATCGGGGAGGAACGGGTACCCAGGAACAATCACCACACGTGATTGAAACGAAACAAGCACACACATGGTATACATGAATGGATTGATCCTCGTGCATCTCTGAAACAGGCAAAAGGCGCGTGGAAGAACAGGGACTGAGCAGAAATTATGACCAGAAAAAAAAACAAATTAGTAGACAGAGCAACCGGACCAAGAGGAGGTTGAAAAACAACTGCAGAGATAATCGGAGAATCGAGTGGTTGCCATGCCTCGGAAGCAGTTCACGATAAAAGATGGAGTGAATTCGTTTCAGGGGAGAGGGGAGAAGCGATAGGGGGCAACGAATCGGTGGAGCACGGGGAATGGAAATGAAGAAGCGGACGGTGAACGGGAAATTATAAGACAGAGCAGAACGGAAACGAACAAAACGTAAGAGTGAGACTATAATTCAAGGGATGGGTACGCGAGATGAAAGAGAACAAAATGGATCCAATTCGGTTGGGATGAGAAGCTCAAGGCTTGTCTTGATTTATTGTTGCCAATGTTGAGAAAAGTGAATGACTAGGTTATGCAAAGACCAAGAAATTCATGCAGGCAAGCAAAAAATAGAGAGAAAAGTGTCAGAGAAAAAGATAAAGCAGTTCAGATCTGATCAAATCAAGCTGACGAACCATCAGGGAGGAGAATAAAATCGAGTGGACAGGTCAGTGAACGAAATGAGATGGGCGACCGAGAGGGCCAGTCCAAAATGGTTAAGAAATACGGTCATGTGCTGGAACAGGGAAGCGAACAGCTTAAAAGCAGCAGAGGTTTGACGATAGAACAGACACACACAGGCACAGGGAAAGAAGACATACGCAAAGCGAGATAGGGAAGACTCACAAAGTGAGAATAGAACACAGAAAACGGATCGGACGAGTGACAAACAGCCCTTCGGGGTGGGATATCGAGAATCAAATCAGGTGCAATAAAGGAGAATATGCAAAGTAATTTTTAGAAAGACAGGTACGCAACTGCTGAGCAAGTAATGAACGGTGTAAGACGAGGCCATGCTCATCATTCTCTTGCTAACTGCGATAATGAAGATAATATTGATGATGATTAGATGAACGTGCGGTCACCGAGACGGATGGAATAAAGCGGTGAATGGGGTTCAGTTGACCAAAGTGTCATCAACGAGTGACAGATAGACAGAGAGATAGAATAAAAGAAGGGCAACATAGCATATAACAAGCATAAGCGCGCAGCAAAATGAATCGAAGGGGGAAAAGCGAGAAGTAGACCAAGAGGAAGTCGGATGAGTACAATCTACAATGAGATGGATGCGATCGACAGTGGGTCAGCGATGATGAGCGATCAGTGGACAGATAGGTAGGTGGTATGTTCCGAGTGACATAACGCTCCTGGGGACCGGGTTCGTGAGCGTGATAGGCTGTACAGGGAGATGGAGAAACAGAAAAGTCCTTTCGTGCACACGAGCAGGACGCTGGTGACGAGGGGATGAAAGAGGAAGTGCAAATGAGAAATGTGGCTGAAATGAGTATGAGGTTAGGCAATTTTTGGGACAAACAGAACCATCCATAAAGATACATTTTATAATTCATCAGAAATGTGAGGCAAACAGCAGAGACCACCAAGTGACAGTAATACATTACCTACAAGAGAGGCAGTTAAGGAGGTGACTTAGAAACTGTGAACTGGAAAATAGACAGCACGTATCAAGACCCCACATCCGGTAGTGTTTTAGAGTGATAAGTGACGTAATAATTGAACTCCACTTAAACAATTGGACAATTTTATCAAAATGAGAATAATTTCTCGAATATGATAAATTACCTTGATTCCATAGGTTAACAGATGAACCCCAATCACTTTACGATATGTGATGTTTATAAAATTCGGAATACGATTGGGAATGATTTATTCATAAAAGCACAACGACCGAGACATCGAACATCGTCAAACTCGGGCTGTTAGGAAAGAAAAAAAATTAAGAGCAAACAATACAAAGGAGTCGTCTTTCTTTATAACTCATTCTTCGATAACATTCAGCCAGTATGATAAGAGAGAGAGAGACTAATCCCGCAAAGTACTCACAGTTCGTTTACTGTTTTCAGTCACGTACGGAAAATGATCGGAAATTTGTAGAGCATAACCGTAATAAACGAAAACGAAGTGTACATTCCGTTCACGTTCTTGGTAAACAACATGTCTGTGATAATGACTTCCGGGTACAGAGGTTCGATTTAATCGATAGGACTATGGTTGCTTCTTTCAGTGTCAATGACTTCGGATTATGAATAGAAAGACAGAATTGGATACATTGCGCGCTTAGCTGTAAACGGATGTTTTACAATCCATGACTCTCGCTTCCGCTACGGATATCTGGGCATATTTTGCAGCATCGATTTCACTGGAAGATTTGGGCTAACCGTTGTGATAGTCCTCATTTTGTTCAAACAACACGCGTGTCTCCACGTACACGATATGTAAGGCAGGAGGGGGGGACTAAGAACGCGATAATCATTTGGGTGGTTGGTAGGGTTTTCTAGCTATTCTAAACATTAGCTTGTAACAGTATGCGCATGATGTAATCCTGTTTCGTGTTCCCTATCCGAAAACTTGCAAGAGAAAAGCAACTGTTATACTTGTGCCCGATAATATCACCGTGATCGTATTGACTTCATATCGGTAAATGTCGAGGTTTAGTTGCATCAGTTGCTGCTTCCTCGCATGCCATTGCGTCCACCACTGTTTTTTCTGCTGTCAGAATAAAAGAAATACCAAAATACCTAGACTGCATTACATTATCCCTAATTCTCCATGGAGAGACTGCACCTTGACGTGGTGTGACGGCTTGCGTGCTTCTGTCACCCAATGTATCATTTAGAGTAGCTCCATAGTCGCACATATAACTATCCCCGAACAAGAAAGGATAGAAGTTCAGTTTCTTGAAACCAGAGGATTGGACAACACCTTTAACCAACGATGATTACTCCTGAGGTCACTTCAATGAATAAAAATAAGGAGGCACAGTCAAAAGTTGGGCGTAGGGGCGGTATACTTGGGACATCCAATGATTCAGTCCAACAAACAATGTCTAGTTAAGGATGAAGAGTATTAGGTAGCTTGGACCACTACCAAGGATGGCAGCTATACGTGGTAGTGATTGACTATATATGTTAAGCATGTTACAGAATGGGTTTCCTTGGTGGGCTAAGCTTGTCTGGGTGAGTGGTAGGCGCAAGAAGTTCAAAGGAGCACCTGTCAAGAGGGCATGGAAACCCTGGTCAAGAGAGCATGGATAAATAGGAGGTATTCCCGCTCAATACTATCGCTATTCAGTTGGGGATTATGCCGTTCGTGACACCACATCCAAAAGTTTAGTTTGTCTGTTATCTGCAACTGAAATATAAGTCTTCATACCAGCTTATCTCTATTATTGGTCTTCACACACTGATGCACAGTAAGCAAACTGAGGGGAAGCGTATTCGTGAATAATTTAAGCAAACCAAGACAACACTTTAAGAAAAGTTGCGAAAACTCACAGGGTTTGAAAGAACGATCAGCATTAGTAGGTTCACCGTTGCTGTCGGTGAGGAATTGCGTTGCTAGGCTTTGCCATTGAGCCCATGGTAGTGCTAGGACTGGAGGTAGCATGGGATGGTACTGGTGGTGCTGTTTTCGGGCCCAAGTCACCGATGGAACCCGTTTGGCCAGGTACGGTTACAGAAGGGAGACGTGAAGTACCGTCGGATTTGAACGTCTGCGCCAAACCGGTGCCACTCGGTGGCAATCGTGAAGGTATCCGGCCTGTAGCGACGCTTCCACTACCACTACCTGTTGCNGTTGCACTAGCCCCGGTACCGTTCTGCCGACTTGCCGAACTGGCACTGCTGGTGCCTGGAATACGATCCAGGGGCCAAAGATCAACGTGATAAGAGAGGAGCATATAGAACTTCAATTCAGATAAAGCTGATGTCAACTGTACAGGCTGGAGCACGCCAAATGAGAGGATAAGCATGCTACTGAGTGAGCACGGACTGCTTGGGACAACACATACTGCGCACAGAATGGCATCAAATCGGATGCCCGGGATTGAATACATGCTTATCGATTAACTAGTGACAGGTGAGGGACGGATGGACGACAAGACAAAGCCGATTGGTTGTATGAAGCACAATGGGCGAGACGTGAATGACAAAGCATGTGTTTGTGAAACATTAAACATTGAAAGTAGTGAAACTCCGAGAAGCATCAAAGGAAACTAGTTGTGGACAGACCATGCTACTAGCTACGTCTCAACATTGGGAATTGATGATAACAAGTAAACTGAGCGAACATTTATCACAACTTTTTGGACTATTCTCATGAAGCGCGACAATGAGCAGCAAGAACATTGTCTCGAGGACGCACAACTAGACTACAGTGGAGGAACGCCTAAAAGTAATTTAATTTTTGGGTTTATTGTATCAGCAGAAATTTGTGACGAGCTGATCACTCAACGGATTACAGTATAGATCTATTCGGGGGTGGTTATACGCTTCGCTTCCAACGAAATATTTCTTGAGTGCTTAGGAAGGAAATTCCAATAGTCGTTATGGAAATAGGTTTCACTGTTTGTTCTCCGTCGGTAATCGAGCTTTTATTGTTGATCCCATGGTTCCTATGTGCCTACCGAAAGCCGACCGAAAGCACGTTTTCTGTTCGCGAGAGGAATCGAAAAAGTTGCTCTTGAGACAAACTCAACATCGGAAATAGAACGAATAATTTGAAGAAAATACAAGCGGGTGGAAGTTTTCGAAGGGATCAAAGTTGCCATCTAGGACGTGCATCTGGGTTCGAGATTCGTCCTCCGCTATCCAGCTCACAGTGACATCTGTCCCAAATGAGGTCTTCGCAGTATGCCTCCTCAATATTCAGGCCTAGGGTAGGCGGTTACCATAAATGGACCATAGATTCTCGTGATCATGAAGTTCCACCGTACCAATGATTGTCACGCAATGGTATACAATAAAAGTCATTGTGAATGCGTCGGTGTCGAACGGATAGCCAAGCACTCAGCCCGTACACTTGCTGTTTTATAAATCCATCATACGATTCTTGGATAGGGAGTGACTTCACTGAAGTTTGTGCCAAAACATTAGCATGAGGTTGATATTACTTGATCAAGGCCGGGTTGGAATAATCATCAGATTCAGATAAGCAACACAGATAGACTAATAATAACGCCACGCAGCCTGTGAACCAAGAGCCGTACAACGAAGTGTCCGTAACCCGCAAAAGTTTTTGTATAATCTGTCGATCGCAAATGACGGAACCAAATTCATCAAGGTGTGCTTTTTCTTTTCTTTTATTCGTCTACCAGTGACCGCTTCAGGCTGGAGAAAGCCACGTGGAGGCCGGTAGATGACATGGAGACGAGGCATAAAGAGATTAACTGAACCATTAGGTAGAGTAGGTGTTTCACGCCTTCCGGGTCGTGGTCCAAAAGACTCCGTAGCGGGATGGTTAGAGACATTGAAGGCAACAAACCGGCAGCAGTGGCGTTCTTTTTGTCACTTCTTATCAGACCAGAATGCTTGAAATGCACAGTTAGATTTTGTACTCTGTCTGCTGACCATAGAGGTTCACTTTCTTCTTCCTTCTGTCAAAATACACTCAATTCCTATCCCTCTTACACATTCTTATGAGTTTGACAGCGAATAGTGAAGTTCGCTTTACTTTTGTATGATGTACGATGATAATGACTATGACCAAGTTAGTGTCGGGAAAATGGGGTTACGACACCGAACCGTTTAGGGGACGATTTTCGCTCAGAATGTGAAGTAAATGATGGTTTTACATTCGAATCGATTGGTTGGTGTTTTTCTGTCACGGTGGCAATTGTCACAATAATATATGCAGAATAAAATAATTAAGCGGATCTGATTCCGTAATAAATGTTCATGGTTAGAATTACTACGCATAACCTGTTATGTTCCTCTATTTTTGCTCTCAACTCAACCCGCAGCAACCATGCTATCACTTGAAGGATCCCGTTGTTAAGGCTTCCTGGTACGCCAAATTTTGATCTATCAATCTGTGATTGTATCACGAAACATTGTATTTTTCCCATCCCAGTTTAGCAGAAGTAAACAAAAAGAGTTTGGGTTAGTTGAACTACGATAAGGAAACACCTACACACCGTTGGAAAATGCACGTCCCTCAGCTTAT